CAGTGATTTTGAAGTGAGTCCTGGGTTCAAAGCCTGGTCCTGCCCGTTTCAAACCACGTGAACTCCCTGCCTCGGTCCTCGTCTGTGGGAGGGAGACTGAGAGCTGCGTGTAGTGGCGGGTTGGGTTCAGGACCACAGGGACTGACATCTCAACCAATGTCAGAGCCTCCGAATGCAGAAATAGGAGCAGCGCCTTCCTCATCTGTGAGCCCTTCCGACTCTATGAGGTAGGTCCCTTTAGGACACAGGCAGCCAACTCTGAGAGTGGCAGGGGGAGCGGTGCTCGGCATTCTCCCTGTCGGACCTGACAGGGAGACCTGAGCAAGGCATGTTCCCCTTCAGTCTCCTCATTATGTGACGAGGGTCGTCATGGTTACCTGGAGCTGCTTTGAGGATGGAAATGCATGGAAACCCAGGCTCACACCCAGCAGTGTGAACAGTGACTTGGTCATCGGGGTCCACAGTGCGACAGCAGGAACGTGGCGGAGCCGGTATTTGGGCTTGTGCCTCTTTCTAGAAGATGAAAAGTCCACTTGGTGTGAAGCCTCTGGCCTGGGGCCCACTCGTTCCTGCAGCTTGGGGGGCTCTGCGGACCCCACCCTGTGCCCCTCAGCCCTCTGGTGGATTCTCAGAACCTCCTGCCTCAGAGGCAGGCGCGTGCCTCTGCCCTGACCATCCAGGAGTCAACATGAAGCCAGGAGCACTACCCCTAGCCTCTTCTGATCCTCTACTAGTACCTGGTCCCGAATCGGGGAAGGGCTGGGGAGACAACTTCTCCCCTGTATTTTGCACAGAAACTCAGATCTGAAAGGCCCCAGAGGTCCCCTAGCCCACACCCAACCCCTCATGTCCTGTAGAGGGGAGGAGGCCGAGACCCAGAACCTGAGGTCCGGTCAAGGGCACGTCATGGCAGGAACTCGGTGGTCTCCACTGCCTCAGTCTGGGCTTCCCCTGCAAAAGCTCCTCATCTTCTCAAAGAGAGACTTAGTACATGTTGACTGAATGACAACAGGACCAGCAGGGGACTTTCTGTGGGCCAGGTACCGTGTGCTCGCCAAGGTTTGTGTCCTTACCCCCCGATGACCCTCACGATGACTGTGAATGGAATGTTACCATGTTGTGTTTGCAGAAACCAAGGTTGTTCAAGGTCGGGCAGGATTTAAGTCTGCTCATCTGTGTTATGGACGGATGTGAGGTGTCCCCCAGAAGCTCATGTGTGCGGCGTGGAAGGAGGCTCAGAGGTGAAGTGCTTGGGCTATGGCTGCCTCGGCCCCTGGTAGGGGTTGGTGGAGTGGGGACTGAAGGCAGGTGGGGCGTGCTGTTTCTGGTGAGTGGAGTCTCTCTCTGCTTCCTGGTGGATGTCTTTCCTCCCCAGACCCTCCCCACGCTCTTAGCCCCACTTCCAGCCCTCAGCGATGGAGCCGGCTCTCTGGACTGAGACCTGAAACTGTGAGCCCCCAACAAACTTCCCCTCCTCTGACTGTTCTCTTGGGTCTTTTGGTCACACTAGCAAAATAATCTGACTATAACCGACTGACTGCTGCTGAGTCCAGGCCCTTCATGAGGCTGAGCCCTTTCCCTCTGGTCCACGTGAGGGAGGACGGAGAAGGGTCCACAGCACCGAGGTGATTCCTGAGAATTCAGTGGAATCCCTCCAGGCCCCCGCGTGGGCATGGACCCAATGCCGGCTCCTCCTTCCGTCTAAGCAGGCCTTCGGCCACCTGTCTCAGGAGCCCTTCCCTTTCTAGCTCCAGACACAGGCTCACGTGACGGACAGTGGCCGCATCGTTCACCTGCTCTGAGGTACTGACCTCTGCCTCAGAGAACGTGGAGCCGAAGGGAGGCTGCTGCCATCTCGGTTTGGCTCACTCTTGATGTCAGTAGGGCATGGAGTGCATCATGGAGAAGGGCCTTGGACAAGGAGGAAGGTCCATTTTAGAGAACAGCAGGGGTGTCACCATCAGGTCCAAGGTGGAATGAGATGGCCAGCTACCGTTTTCAGGGTGCGCAGCGCTCTTCCATTTGGGACACAGTTTCCAAAGAGAAACGCTTGGAGTGTGGAGGTTCCAAGCCTGTTTCCTGCCCCTGCAAACTGGGGTTAGCAGAGACAATGTGAGGATGGAAACTAAGGCTTGCCGACCCCCAGTTGCGGGTTTGTCACATGGAGTCTTGCTTTCCCTGTGAACACTGCAGGGTGACTGGATTGCCTTTCCAGGTGGTGAGAGCACGGTGCCTTTGCTGTCCAGGGAGACTTAATTCCCAGGGCTGTGCAGACAGCCGTCCTCCAGGGCTTGGAGTCTGGGAGACGGAGTTGCTGGGAGAGATCCTCACTCCCCGGTATTTTGCTTTGGGTACAGAAGGCCAAAGCTCAGCCTGTCCACCGGCTTCGGGTCTGGTAGACAGTCTTGGAGCTGGGACTCTTGGTGTTGGAGATGGGTCCTGAAGAAGCTGTGGACTCAGGAGAGAAGGAGAGAGCCCTCAGGATCTGGGGCAGTGTTGACCCAGGAGCTTCCGTTCCTGATGAAGCACTCTCCACCTGCCACCTCCTTCCGTCCTCCTGGGCTGACACAGGGGTCCTTGCATGGATGTGGCGGAAAGTGGGCAGCAGCCGGGAGCCAGGAGGACACCACACTCTGCAGCTGTGACTCTTTCCCCATGAGTCACCCTGGGGCTGGCTCTTGTCCTTGATGTCTGGTTTGCAGTGAGGCCAGTGGCATAACCAACTGGTTCAGTGCTCGTTCAAGCCTTGATCTGTGTTATCTTGGGGTGTCAGGAGCAGGTCTGCAAGGAAGGAAGGGCCTGGTAGGTAGAGCGATGTCATCATTGCTCAGTTGGTAGAAGCACTGAGTATCTGATGGGAAGCCCCGTGCGTCGTGTGACCCTGTCTGCACCTGCTTGCTGTGTGACTTGGGGCAGCTCACATAACCTCTCCATGCTTCCGTTCCCACCCTGTTGGATTTGGTGGAATTAGGCTAAAGGGTGAGACGGACACAGAAGTGTCAGGAGTGACTTTGTTATGATCATAGTGTCAACACGCTGAGGTGGAGAGAGATGCAAAATTCTAGATTTCCAGGAAAAGCAAGAACCACTTTACAAATAAGCTGACATTTGATCTCTGTCTCAAATGCCAACAGCCACAGAATAGTGATGTCACGTGCCTCGGGTTCTGTGTGTGACAGACAGCAGTGGCTCATTCAAACCTCCCTGCAGTCCCTAAAGGGATTCTCCTTTTTCTCTCTGCATTTTAACAGAGAAAGAGAAGCTCAGAGGGGTCAAAGGACTTTCCCCGGCCTGTTCAGCTAGAGGGTGAAGCCAGTAAGAACCCCTCGTTCTTCTTCCCTCGTTCTACTTGACCCCCAAAGCTGTTCCACTAAGCTACCCCACCTCTCTCAAAGGTTGTGTTTGAGTTTTCAAAGACAAATGGGAAGAAAGGGGTTAGTGTAATATATCCCAAAGGAAAAAGTGTGCAAATCTTTGTGTCTGTGTTCGGCATTATTGGTTAGATCTCTGTCCTTGCCAAGTTGCTGAGGCTGGCTTTGACCTTGCAATCCTCCTGCCTCAGCCTCCCAAGCCACTGTAGTAGCCCTATTATTGCAGCTGATTGGTAACTCTAAGATGGCAGAAGACATTCTAAGAATAATCCATGATTGTTCCTCGGCTGGTGTCAGCACATAGTAGGCGTTCAATGGATCCATGTGGAATGAAAGAAGAATCCTGTGGGCCCCACGTTCTCCCGAGCCCATGTGGCACATACGAGCATGTTGCAAAGAGCTCTGCTGACCTTCCTACCTTAAGGAGACAGGGTCACAGAGGCTAGACCGCGTTGTGATCAGCCACATGGATGGTTCTTTACAGCCAGCCCAGATGACGAGGCAGTGCAGGGATCAGGGACCCGCCCCTCCTTGCCCGTCCCCTCCTGCCTGGTGCAGTGCGTCTGAATCTCCTGAAGGGCCCCCGGTTCATCGGTTCATTTCTGGCCACAGTATGTTGGCGGGGAGGTGAGTGGGTCACGCCGGCTCAGACAGGCCTGCGCCTGCACTTAGCTTTGCAGACCGGGTGTTTTCCTGGAGGTTGGTGTTACAGATGAAGCGCTGACCTGCGGTGTCAGCACCGTGCGTGGGAGCAGGAGGAGGACGGCGAGAGCGGCCGTGGGGCAGCTTCCTCCCCGCAGGAATGTGAATAGTGCCAATAACCTGTCAAATAGAATTAAGGTTCAAAACCTACAGCCTTCAATTTGATTTCGCTCAGAGGCCGACTGCTGCTCTGAGGGGATGCGATCGATTCTGTTTTGACAGGTCTCCGTGTACACTAAGCAGCAGCTCTCCCCTCTGTGCAGATTAACCAAAGTTCAACTTAATTTGCAACTTAAACGGGAGCTGTGTCTAATCCGTCACCTGCTGTCCCTCTGGGTTGTCCCTTCCCCCAGGTCTCTGCTTTCCTGGCTGATGACGACGTCTCACTGCATCTTCTTCTCCCCTTTGCTCTGGTACTTTCTTTTCTTAGCACCTTCTTACCTTTGCTCCTTTCTCTCCTCTGTACTTGAGGAGAAGGTAGGAGTCTCCACCACGTGCCAGGCATGGCCCTGTTAGACTCCCAGGTGTGGCCAGGCCTCTGTCAGATGAGGGGGCGGAAGCTCTGGGGCTCTGTGCACGCCTCAGAGCTGCAGGCCGGTGAGAGGCGGAGACGGCCTGCGCCTGGGTCAGCCTCCAGGTCCACGCGGCTTCCTTCGCTTCAGGGGTCCCGGGGAGCCGTGAGGGGGCAGTGCTCCGACGTCCCCCAGACGCGCAGGTGTAGTTACTCCAGGTGGCATCTGGGAGGTGGAGCTGCCCGGGGCTCGGTTCCCTTTCCCTTTTCATTTCTCTGAGCTCCTAACTGTGCCATGTTGAAGTTGGCAGCAGGACGCCCTCAGGAGGGACGCTGCCCCCCAGGACGCCTAGGGGGTGGCCTGGCCCTGCAGGGAGTCCTGGGCCGAGAGCCAGTGGCCTCTGTGTTCGATGCAGGTGGGGAAGTGGGAGAACCAGAGCCTGAGCCTGCGGCACGCCGTGTGGCCCAGGTACAAGTCCTTCTCCGACTGCGAGCCGGACGACAACCACCTGAGCATCGTGACCCTGGAGGAGGCCCCCTTTGTCATCGTGGAGGACATAGACCCGCTGACAGAGACGTGCGTGAGGAACACGGTGCCCTGCCGGAAGTTCGTCAAGATCAAGTGAGTGACAGGGGGGGGGGGGCGGGTCTCTGAAACCGCGGGTGTCGTGGCCCAGGACACGTCTGTGTGACTCAGTGACCCCATGATGCCGGGTCGGCAGACACCTGCCGGGACTCGCCACGCAGCCCTTTGGTGAACTCCCAAAGCCACGAGGACAGCCCTCCCTCAGTCTCGCTGGAACCCTGACTTCCGGGTCCTGGCCATCACCGCTCATCCCCAGCAGGTCCTTCTCCCCTCATCTCCTGGGTGTCCCCCAGACCCATACTTCTGAAAAATTTTAGAAGTCTGTCTCTGGCTGGTCACGGTGGCACACACCTGTCATCCCAGGGGCTCGGGAGGCTGAGGCAGGAGGATGGCGAGTTCAAAGCCAGCCTCAGCCACTTACAAGTCCCTAAGCAACTGCACCAGACCCTGTCTCAAAACAGAAAATCAAGGGGGCTAGGAATGTGCTCAGTGGTCCAGGGCCCCTGGGTTCCATCCCTGGTACCAAAAAAGAGAAAAAGTTTGTCTCTGAGGCTCAGGACAGGCACAGACCTGGGCGTGACTTTCAGATGCCACCCAGTGGAGACTGGACCCCTGCAGCTTCCCTGCTGACCCACAGCCGCTGGGCTGCCTCTGTCACCTCCTGTCTGTGATGCTGAAGGAGAGCTGACCCACTGGTAGGGCTCCGTCTTTATTCATGAGCCCTTTGGGAACCCAGAGAACACCATGGCCCAGGCTTTTCCAGCCAGCATGGGCCCGACCCCCCACCAGGAGAGCGACTAGAAGGGAAGGCCTCTGCTGGACCCAGTATCTCCTGGTCATCTCCTTCCCCCTTGTCTTTAAGCTTGGCCACGGCCTCCCCAGGTTAGGCCAGCTCTGCCTGTCCCTGCAGTGCCCTGGGTAAAGTCCATCTCTATCTGTGTCACCTGGCTTTACAGTTTATAATTCGTCTGTCTTCCCACTGGATGACAAGCCATCTCAGTACGGGGACTGTGCCTGGCTGATCTCTGCACTCAGTCACAGAGCACAGGACCCAGGGTGGTGGGGTGCCCAGGACGAGCAGACACCGTGCCTCCTCCACACCACGCTCCGACTTTAGTCCCCACTAGTCAGGATGCAGGCCCGGATCTCAGAGCCTGGGGGCGGGGGGTACATTTTATATATATGTTTGCTAAATGTCTTATGAAGGCACACTTTGGCTTGGAGAAAATTTTATCTACAAGGTCAACTTCTTTGGAAGTGAAATTCTGAATAGATCATGAAGGGAATAAATAGATCCATCCTGAATAGGCCTCCCCACTCCCTGCATCCCTCACCCGGGCTCCCCTTCCCTGGAGATGAACAGGAAACTCATCAAGGAAAGGCAAGCGGGTGACCCCACCTAGGGACATGATGTTTCAATAATTGTTGCTGAATTCCTCCACAATTAAATAGCACAGATGTTGTTATAAATAAAAATGTAAAAAAAAAAAAGGTAAGTACATGGATGCAGAAACATGCATTAAGTGCAGTTTGTGTGTCAGGCACGGTTCTGGGCACAGAGGAGACGGGATCTCTGGTCATGTCACAGACAGTCAGATCCTGACTCTGCCCGTGAAGGAAGCGGGCAGCGCCAGGTGATGGTGGACCTTGTGAAAGGACAAACCAGGTGTCATGGTCAGAGAGCAAGGGGTCTGTGTGGCTCCGGAGGTCACCCAGTAGTGCTCAAGGATAGTGTGAAGGGTCAGGAGGTGGACCTGTGACGGTCTGCAGGAGCCTCCCAGGTAGAGGAGCACAGGAGCAAAGGCCCTGGGGAAGGAGCAGCAGCCAAGCTGGGGACAAAAGGACACCCGGGGGACACGGGGGGGGGGGCTGGAAGGGCCTGGGGGGAGAAGGAGGGAGGTCGTCCCAGGAGGTGTGGATCTGCTTGGGCGTCCTGCGGGCAGAAGTTGGTCAGATGTGGAAAGAATGACGCAAAACTGAGGGCGCCGTTGGCGGGACACCTCCTTTCCCATCACGGTACCCCCAGATGTGGATAGGGCCCACGGGGCCTGGGGTGCTTCACAGTCAATAAGAAGAGTTAGAAAACTTTAAATTTGGTAGCACTGGAGCTGGAAACAAGGGGGTCACCCGGACCCCAGTCTGTCCGTGTGAAGAGAAATCCCCAAACTGAATCGCTCTCTATAAAGAATCGACTTTCCTATTGAAGACTAGAAACGGCTTAGCAAGTGCAAGTTCACGATTTTGGCTCCGGTGGGGCGGGAGCCTGCTCCTTCCTTTCTTCCATGTGTGGACTGGGCCTGGGCCTCGGCCTCCAGGTGAGACGGGTCCGACGTCCTCGATGTCAGTGGAAAATCACTAGGGTGCCCTGACCCAGCATCAACACGAGTTAGATCAACTGCATCTTCCAAAGGTCAGGGCTGAAGCAGCCCATGGTGGCAAAGGATTTCTGTTAGACACGGCGTCGTGTGGGTTTTCTTGGCAATGCTCCCCAGGGACGAGCCTTGTTTGTCACTTCTGGTAAACGTGGAGTCCTGGGGGCCTGTCAGTCTCCTAAAAAGCCAGAACCTGCATCCATGGCTGCAGGTGCAGATCCACACCCTTTGCCTTCAGCGGTGCCTCTGATCCTGCAGGTATCCACACTCTCTAGATATTTGGGGGAAGCCTCCAAAAATACAAGGAAGAAAACTCCCCACCACTGAGAAATAGCTGTGCTTCTAGTCCATTGTTGTTCTACCCAGTTTTTTTTTTCCAATAAGCTCCTCTGCTTTTTTAGAGCTGTGATTATTCTGTTTGTACCTCCGTGTAATCGGCTCTTTTTCTCATGACATGGACACATGTTTTCTACGATGGGGTTGGATTTCCATAAACATCATTTTATGCTTTTTTTTAACAGTCCCGTGTGTAAATGAGCCCCAAATAGAATATTCTAACAGAGCACGTGTTTCATAACCTCAGCGACTCCAGGGCAAGGTCGAGCCAAGAGGATGGTTTGGTGCGGGGTGGACTCAAGTGCCTGGTCCACAGAGGCGTGGTGGCCTTCCTGTGTGAGTAGTGAGGGGGCCTTGGCCACTTGGTTTGGGAAGACCAAGTTTCCTTCATTTTTAGAAGTATTTAAGGTCCGTGTGGGTGTTCTTGGAGTGAGACTTTGTCACATCTAAGACGGCCTTCAAGACGACAGCACTGTCTGGGTTGAGATAGGGGTTTTCCCGGGGGAGAGCATTTCCCCCTGGAGTGTCACCTTTTGTACTTGATGCCATTGAGGTAGACGGGGAGTGTCGTGAATGAACCTCATGGACAGCCGGCTCTCCAGGAGAGATGGCGTCCACAGCTCCAGCGTGGGGTAGAACGCGGGTCTCCCGGTTCTAGGAGGTCTTTCAGAACCCTGCCCTCTTGCCTTCGGTCTCAAGACTTTTAAGTACAGGATAAAGTAGAGAGAATTTCACGTCATCCTCTCCCCAGTTTCTGAGAAGCTTTATGATTGACTTTTAGATAGAAAAAGGTTTAAAGAGGTTGTACGCTTGGCAACTCTTGCTTGCTTAAAGGGGTGAAAAACAGCTCCTAATTCAGAGAAATGTCACCGGTCAACCCAGCTGGCAGTGGCCTTGAGCGGCGCGCCTCGCCAGGAGGCATTCCCCCACACGTGACAGTTGTCATGATGACGGCTGTGATGAAGGACGCTTCTGCTCTTGGTGTCCTTGGAAAGGCCAGCTCCTCCCTGAGTCCCCCTTCCCCACCGGGAAGGCCCAGGAGACGAGCTGGCCAAGTGCAGAGCCCTCCCCACCCCTCCCGCCCACCCTCGCTGACCTTCTGCCGTCTTGGGGTTTCCTTCACAGCAATTCCACCAACGAGGGGATGAATGTCAAAAAGTGCTGCAAGGGGTTCTGCATCGACATCCTGAAGAAGCTCTCGCGGACCGTGAAGTTCACCTATGACCTCTACCTGGTCACCAACGGGAAGCACGGCAAGAAAGTCAACAACGTGTGGAACGGGATGATCGGGGAGGTAGGTGGGCGCCCGTCCCGCAGGCCCTCCCCAGGGGGCCGGGCGGTGGGGCAGAGCCACAGACCCCGCTCCTTCTCCGCCTCCAGGTGGTCTACCAGCGAGCAGTCATGGCGGTGGGCTCACTGACCATCAACGAGGAGCGCTCAGAGGTGGTGGACTTCTCCGTGCCCTTCGTGGAGACGGGGATCAGCGTCATGGTGTCCAGGAGCAACGGCACCGTGTCCCCCTCTGCCTTCCTAGGTAGGTGCACTTCCAGGGGCTCCCGCTCTCCCTCAAGGGGTCACAGCTGCTCCGTCCCCTTGGCTCATAGCCTGTGGCCAGACTGGACCTGTTGGGTTCCGTGGGACCAACTGCTATAGTTCCAGCCCCGTCCCGGGGTTTCATGAGCTGACTCCAGACCACTCACGTATCATCGCATCAAGCCTTCACTGAAGCACACTGGAGGCGGCTGACCAGAACATCAGGCTGTTCCCCCGATCAGCCCCCAACAATTGCAAGGCCCTCCTTATAAGCCTGAAAACCGCAAAGGGATGTTCGGGGGTCCAGCCAATGCCAGCCAGCCAGGTTACAGAAGCGGGACAGTGCAGTCAGGCGGAGGGAAGCCTCACCAGTCCCAGTTAGCCCAGTCACCCCAGTTACAGAACAGAGCCCCGTGACCCTGTTACAGAAACAATGCCCCATTAGGTAGTCCATGCTCTTAAAGGTTTCTACAGCACAAGGAGAAGAACATCTCGCCCCAGTCCTGACCCTTCTACGGGGCCTGGTTGTTTTACAGGATGGAGTCATAAAACAAAATGGGTCCCCTCTGCTCCCACTACCACACACCAGCACCCTCCAGAACCTCTTGCACTGAGTCATCCCACTTCTCCCCCTGCCCCGCCCCGTGGGAGATTTCTGCTGCGCATACTCAGATACTGGTCTGGACTCTGTAGAGCGTAAATTAGTAGGTAATATTGCTGAGAGCCCCGCAAAACATTTAAAAAATGAATAAACCTGCCTGTCCACAGTTGATCTCAGTCAGCCGTAAACCTCCGTCCAGCACCCACCACCGTCCCCACCTCAGTGGCAGTGGTGGTCTGCGAGTCGGCGGGAGAATCATGATGAGCACACCTGATCCACGCCCTCCTCTGTACCCAGACAGGAGCAGTCTGAAGAATCTGATTTAAGATGAGTGGAGTCATATGTTAAATGTGCCTTCCTTGAAGCCCAGTGGTTTCTAAAGCAGGACGTTCTTTTAACCCTTTCATAAATCTACACGTTTACAGGAGACCGTTTTTCCTAAATCAGGGTAGGGTGATGTGTTTCTGTCCTCTGGCCTTCAGCACCATGGCTGGGTGACTTGGGTACCCTGGCGAGAGCCGTGGAACCTCTTTAAAGCCGAGTGCTGTTGGCTGTCTGGCTATTATAAATGGCTTTTTAAAAGGTGCTGTCTGAGCTGGGGTTGTGGCTCAGTGGCAGCGTGCTTCCTAGCACGTGTGAGGCACATAGCAATAAATAAAAAATAAAGGTACCTCAACAACCAAAAAATATTTTTAAAATAAATAAATAAAAGTGGTTATCTTGTGGAAGATTGTGGAATTATGAGCGTGATGATGAAGATTTTGTGTCAGGGATTAAACCTGGGGCACTTGACCACTGAGCCACATCCCCAGCCCTTCTTAGTATTTTATTTAGAGACGGAATCTCACTAAATTACTGAGGGCCTTACTAAGTTGCTGAGGCAGGCTTTGAACTCACGGTTCTCCTGCCTCAGCCTCCAGAGCCACTGGGGTTATAGGGGTGCACCACCATGCCCAGCAGAACTCAGGTGATTAATTCTTCCTTAGCATGCCCATATAAATGGGTTTGCCCCAAATTTGGGGAGCTGAAGCAAACTGTAATCTCTAGAGTAAAACTGCATGAGAGAGAGAGAGAGAGAAAGGGGGTAGGGAGAACATTGTTGACGTCAACTAAATGTCTTACATTTTTCCAGAAACAAAAATCTCTATTATGGAAAGTTGCCGACTAGAACCAACTTGTGGAACCAACTGCAGGCCCTTGGTCTGGTTCCTCCAATGTCCTCACTTACGTGTGATGTCAGCRCCGTGGGGATTTCATGCTCCCTTCTCCCTGCTGAAATGTTGACTAACAGGATTTTGGACCGTGCCTCACTCTCGGCAGCATGTGGATTTACTACTTCATTTTTGATAATCCAGTTAAGCTGCCGAAATCCTCGCCACTCACTGGATTTGATTTTGCAGTCATCGCTTCAGTTTTGGTACCCTTTACTGGAGTGACGTGGAGCTTGACAAGGACACACTCGATAGCTCCTTCCATGTCCCTTTGCCCCGTGTCTGACAAGGAGACAGAGGCCTGTGTCTTCATGAGGAGCACCAGGAAGTGCAGTCCCTCAGTCCCGGCTGCTCTTCCCACTGTCTCCCAGGCCCTTGGCATTGGGCTTTGCCCTGGGGCTCGAGAACTGGGTGCAGGAAGTGGGTTCCTGGGACAAAGTTGATAGAAATGTGTGGTTTTTTTTTTTTTTTTTTTTTTTTACAAATTGTCTTCAGATCTACTTAGTGAGCCGGAGAGAACTTTTTTCCAATTCAATCAGATAAATATATATATATCAATTGACTTGACTTGTAAAATTGGGTCACTGACATTGAATTTGGCCTCAACCCAGTTTCTTTAGATGTTTTTGTTTTTTGTCTTACCTGCATCAGAGACCATTTCCATAAAAAGTCAAGTATTTTGCCAAATTTAGCAAAACCACCCCCCACTCTTCCTGCTGTATATTTTAATAATAAAATGAAATATAGCCGGAGGAAGCGATTTGCAAAGCTGTTGTTACACAGGAGGTTAATATTTTCCCTAGTCACTAAATTACATCCCTGTTTGGCTGACATTGTACCCCCTGATTCACGGTCATTATCTGCAGGTTCTGAAAGTCATAATGAACCGTGCTGAGCTACATTTTCCCATTCACTGGCTCAGTCATCTGGAAGAGCCCAAACATTCGAAATCGGATTGCGTTGCTGTTCATCATTCCCTATTCTCTCTCCTCCACAAACTCCATTAACTCACACTGGAAACACTTGCAGGTAATGCCAAGGAGCTTTTGTGTAAAAATGGTTCGTCAAGGACAGAGATGACATCTCCTGTCACATTTCCATCCAGTTCATTTTGAAGACTTTCCCAGCAATTTGAATTCTTTAGCCCAAAGAAGAGCTGACCTGGAGTCTCCGGGATGCAGTTTCTCTGTGGTGGATGCTGGTTCTGGGTTTGAGTCATTAGAGGATACACCTGTTTAAGATGGCTCTGGGCTCCTCTGTAGCTGCTGTGGACCGTGTCCTGCTGTTGCCCCAACGCTTTTCTTCACTGTGGGGCACGTGTGTGGCGTCTGAGGAGAGCGGTCCTTCAGGGTCACTTGCAGGTACTTGGTACACTCCAGCCAGAGCACTGCAGCAGAGCCCCTTGATCTGTGTGCCATCTCACAGGCCAGGGACAATGTTGTCAGTTCCAAGTGGGACACCATCTTGTTGCCAGAGCAGCTCTCCTTGCACTTTCTGACCAGTGCGTTAGTGGGCAGGATGCTTATGCCCACGGAAGTCCTCTGCAGGAGTGCACACTCTGACACGTGAGCAGAAGGGCTCAGCCAGGGTGCCCCCATCCTGTAATGTTATCACAGCCCACAGAGACGTGGAAATCACCTGGTTCACAAGCGGGTTTTATCCGAAGGTGCTGCTTTTTCAGCACCACGGACAGCGCCCACCCCGCCCACCGCCGCCTTTTCTGGCTTCATCCTGAGATCAGTGATTCCCGTTTCCTTGGACCACTCACCTTCTGGGGCTGCTTCCACAACTTGGCCACTGGGAACTGATGTGCCTGCATCCAGGGCAAAAGAACAGGAAAAGTGGGAGAGGGTCCCACGGAAATAGAAGGGAGATGGGTGGAGCAGAGGAAGAAGCGGGTCAGGGAGGACAGGAAAGGGAGGAACTGTGGAGTGAAGTGGACCCGATTGTGCCGTGCACAGAGGAATGTGCCACGCCGAAGCCCACCTTGACGTCTGTCTATAAATAGAAGGAAGACCAGTGGGTAGAGGAAGGGGACAGGGACAGGGAGGCAGGAGGGAACGGGGACCACTGGGGACTGAACAGCAGCAAATCACACTCCACCCTTGTGTGATCAAGTCAGAATGAGCCCCCTCTCCCGCGTGGCTCCAGTGCGCTAAGGGAAACCCAAACCCGCTGCTGCATTCGCCATACTGTGTACGTACGTACGTACGTGGATAAGGCACACCGCCAAGTATCTTAATGCTCACGTACGTGTCACGAGAATCACAAATGTCTAAATGCTCACGTCCTTGTCACAAGAATACTCCTCCGATAAGGCACACCATGCCATCAGCACGCCAGAATTGACAATTAGTTTAACGTCTCTATTCTTGACTATTAAATACTTTTAATCTCCTAATTACTCATTTACTCATTCTCCCTTTTGGATACACCTCATTACCAAATTCATATGATTTCAGAGGCCTAATATTGTCTATCACTCAAGCCAGATCTAAGTAAGATAGATTTCCGTCAAGGTCTCCCTGATCTCGGAGCTCCTCTGAGTTAAGCGGTAGTGTTGTTACCGGTTGCTTCTTAACGTATTCGCGCTATCAAAATCAGATTGCCCAGCACTTGTTCCCGTTTTCAGATCACAGCGTGGAGTTAAGGCCTCAGACGTGGTGGTTTTGTGCTAAACACTGAGCTCATTGAGTAGGACTTTGCATGACTCCTAACTGGGTGGGGCAGTCATAGACTAATAGTCTGCAATCGGCCTCATTCTTTATCATAAATAATAAAAAGCTCATTGTTGAGAAGCATGATTGCCCTAATGGACCCTCAGGCACTTTTGCTTATGAGGAACGGTTGTTAGGTCCACGGTATCTGTGTCTATAAGACTTCTTCCCAGTGAGGCAATCAAGTGCAGATAGACTCATTTTTGAAATTTTAGTCTCTGTTGATTTTTTAGCAAATCTATTTCAAAAGTAGATAAAATGGCTTTCATCAGCTAATTTTCACATCCTCAACTGGGTTKAATCAAAGGGCCAGCTTATCTTGCATAGCGTCTCTTACCCTCCTAGAGTGTTAAAAGCCTTAGAACCTCTGGACTTGGCCAGCCCTTGGGATCTCTGCCGACTGCCCCAGTGATGTGGAAATGAGCCGGCGAAAGTGACTCACCATCCACCCACCGCGGCTGCCCGTCCAGGTCTCCCTGCATTTCTTAAGTGAGGCTTTTCCATTAAATCATCACGTGACACGGTGTCCTCAGACGGCTCCCCTTGCATGTAAGCCCGGTGCCTGCACCAGCAAGACTGACAGGCTCCAGAGCTCTGGTCTGCATGGAGCAGAGGCCGAGTGGAGAGTCACGGCGGAGGCCATGACCTTCTGACATCCTCCTCAGCCCATGATTTTGGAACCCTTCCCAACAGGTGGTCAYTCTCCCGTCACCTCTGAAATCCCTACCCACCAGCCCACCATGTGTAAGAAGTGCGGATGGAGAGAAGACTCAGAACCAGGCCAGGCTGCAGGAGTCTGCGCTCCACCGTTGGTCCCCCAGCTTTGTTCTCGGGAGGGTCCTGCCAGTCTGGGGGAGCCGCAGCCTCTTTACTTACATTCTTCTTTCTCCTTTCATCTGATCATTCCTTTTTGTATCTGTTCTCTTGATCTGAGTTGCAAAATGTCCTCTGCTCGTCTCTAGTTTTATCATATCATATGCAAGCTTATAAAGTATCTCAAATATTTTAGAAAATATATAAATGTATATAYACATACATTTTTCTTCTTCTTAATGACTAGCTTCTTTGGAATGATCAGTTCCAGTTAGAGCAGTTCGGCTGGTGAGCCCACACATCACATCCGGGCTCCTGGGCCGCATGGAGAGCCGTGACTGACTGCTTCTGTGCCCTGGTCTGTCTCCCTGCAGAGCCCTTCAGCGCCTCGGTCTGGGTGATGATGTTCGTGATGCTGCTCATCGTCTCTGCCATCGCCGTGTTTGTCTTTGAGTACTTCAGTCCTGTTGGCTACAACAGAAACCTGGCCAAAGGGAAAGGTGAGCAGCCTTTATCAGTAGATTCCAGGTCCACCTTCCCCACCCACTCGTAGTGAGGATTTGGCCTCTGAGTACCTCGTCTCACATTGCTGTGGAACCCCCCCCTGCCAGTGGTTCTGGACCACAGAGGTGGCTTGTCATGTCACACAAACATGGTTCATTTCTTGCAGCTAAAAAAAAAAAAAAAGAAAGAAAGAAAGAAAAATGAAAGGATAAAGCAAAATGAAACCTTTTAATCTTATAAGGAGAAGTCAATCATTGTTAGATGAAAACTGTTGATATTTGATTTGTTGAGGAAGCAGCTCTGAACAAAGTTATTTTGGCAATTAATTAAAAAGGCTGTGTCAAAAGAAATATGAAAATCGTAGCGAGTCTTCACTTCAGTCTACACAAAGAATCTAGTTTAAGAACGTTCTTCAATTTMCTGAGTCACATTTGCATGCGCTTGACAGCGTAGCGATAAAGTGGTATCTTTCCCCAAGGAGTCGCGTTTCCCTCTTGACGGTGCCCGACTTCAGTGCATCTGCTTGATCAAGAGGCAACCGGTAGGTAGAAAATTGAATTGGGAGGCACTTATTGGCTATAACTCACAAAGAGGCACCCCCAGGAGCCAGAGTTCAGAGACAGGGAGTCTCCTCGGTGACAAGCAGGAGCTCGGAGGGGACCAACAGCCGGCACAGGGCTCTCGGGAGCGGGGGGAGGTAGGAGAGTTTGAGCTCTCAGACGCTGCCCGTGACAGGGACCTGCGACATCAACACGCACGCTTCCCCCCCCCGGAAGGTCAGGCGTGGGAAACACCCAGAGGTCATGGGGCTCCACCAGGGACGTAGTTTCACTGAAATCCTCCACCTCTTCACAGTTGAAGAGCAGTCATTGCCGCCTGAGCCATCTCCAGCCAACAGCAGTGACGACGCTGTCACCATCACCTCGTGCTTAAGTGTTCACGGTGTGCCTTCCATGAAAGGCCATGCAGTTAGCCACGCAGGGGTTCYGGTGAGCGGAGGCCGAGGCAGTTCTCTGTGGGTGACCATGCGGCCGCAGGGCAGATCTTGACATCTGTGTGACCAGCGTCCGTGCTGTTGTGACGTCACACGTCGATGGGGTGGATATTCCTGGAGTCGGCGCCATGTGCYGGGTCCTGCACTGATAGCAAAGGGGGTCAGCTAGAGGCTGCCTCCCTCAGGAATCTTGGCGTGGGGTTGTGGCTGCATCGGGTAAACACATGACGCAGTGACCACCGAGACCAGCACATTGAAAGAAGAGGGCAGAGGGGTGAGGTGACAGTGATGGGCAGGGTGCTGGTTTAGCTGGGTGCCAGAGTGGGAAGGGGGCTCAGGAAGGCTGGGGGCAGGCTGAGCCCTGAGGTGGGAGGACGCAGTCACACGAAGAGCAGAGGAGAGCACTTCAGCAGTGGGGACAGCAGACACACAACCCRGAGGTGGGACCCGCTAGGCACGTCCAGCAGCCAGGAGCTGACYGAGGGGGTGAGAAGAAGTCGGGGGTGGGCGGTGGTTGGCCATGGAGAGCGAGCACTTCACATTTTCTTCAAAATACCAGGGAAGGGAAGCCGGTGACCCACGTGTACGATGTGAACAGGTCACTGTCTCTCCAGGTGAAGGAAAGGACAGTGACCATAGAAGCAGGGAACCCTGAAGAAGGTGTCCCATTGGTCAGCGTGGTTTGGACTTGAAGTAGGAAATGAGGGTGGAGACAAGTGGGTACATTTGAGAATGATCGTGAAGGGTTGGGTTTTTATTCTGTTTTGTTTTCTTAAAGTGCTGCAAAGGCCATCCCATGCCCCAGTCTCTCCCTGGGATGCAGTGTGCCCTAGAGGGCCAGGATGCAGACTGCCCAGCCCTCCCGTTAGGTGGAGGGTTCCTGTGTCCTGCTCTTGTGCATGTGGCGACTCCCAGGAAATGATAGCTCCACCTCCTTGTGGGTTTTTTTTTTTTTTTGTGCAAAATGCTTTTCTGTTACATTCCATTGCACTTTATGGGGAAAGTTCTATGCAGCCCAGTGATAGTACTCGTGGATCGGGAGTCCCCGAGAGTGCTGGACAGGTCCCTGGTGGCCACCTATGTCTGATTCCCGARAAGCTGTCACTTTGGATCAACATGCATCTCTAATAAAACTAAGTAGTCGTGAGGTCAGCTGGTTTGACTCTAATCATGATTATTACTTTTTCCTAAGAGTTCCCAGCCTCTTGGGAATCAGTCCGTGAGATTGAAAAGGGAGGCAAAGAGAAACGGGAGAGAATGAGTGAAATGGTGGAATTGGCTGGTCTCCCCTGACTGCGGTGGATGAGGGACGGTGAGGGGTGCCCRTGCCTGGTGCACACAGCTCCCTGCCCAGGCGCCGTCACCTCCTCAGCTGAACACACTCTGCCACTTTATTCATTGCCCRCTCTGCTCACGTTGCAAACTGGTCTCCTGGCCTCCGTAGATCTTTTTTTTTTTTTTTTCACATTTTAATTTACTTAAATGACATAAAAATTAACCTTCTGTTAAAGGAAGACCTTCTTTCCTCTCAAAACAAGGACATAAATTGATTTTTCCCTGTGCAAAACTCAGACTGGAAAACACAAACGTGAGTGTTTTACAGCCTGCGTCGGCCCCATCTCAATAAATTTCCCCAGCATTGTTCTGCCTCTTTAGTTAAGTCTATTGCGAGGAACGTCTAAGAATCTTAAAAGGGACACGCGTAGCCGTTGCAAGGAGACGCGGAGGGAGAGAGCAGAGCCGGCCGGGTTCATTTTCTACGACCCTGCGATGAGATGATGAGAYGTCTTCCATCTGTGAAGTGCTGGAAGCATTAAGCTCTATTGTTCTGTTCCTTAATGTCTCCATTTGGAGAGAGTTTGGGCTGGTTTAATTCCTATATCGMGCTCACTTTACATCTGAATCCAACAGGAGCCATTGCTAGGGACCATCGAGTTGGAATACCAAACACAAGGCCTGCTGAATGGCGCGTTCTGCTGGGAGGGCGCAGCTGATGCCTACAGAAGCAGCCCCCGGTGACGGRTTTAATCAGGCTCTCTTTACATTTACCGAGGAGATTGGTTCCCAAATGGAAATCAAATCCARGTTTAAACAGGGCATCGGCTGCTTCTCCTTCCAGTCCCCGTTTTCAGAACCCTCTGCTTTCCCTTTCTCTCTCTCTTATTTTTTTTCCCTATTTCTTTTTAAAGAAATGTGCYACGATCCAGTTAGATAGAAATGTGGGCAGAATGCTAATTGTTGAAGAAAGATGAAGCTGACTGTGGCTTTGGTGCTAGGACAGGTAGAGGACACAGCTGTGGTGCTACCAACCCGTCCCCAGCAATCCTCAGCGTGGCCCACGGCCGCCCCTAGTTTTCGTGCATCCGCAAGTCCGCGTGTCGGGAAAGTGCTGAGAGTGTCTCTCCTGTCSTTTGCAGCGCCCCACGGGCCTTCCTTCACCATCGGGAAGGCCATCTGGCTCCTCTGGGGCCTGGTGTTCAACAACTCTGTGCCTGTCCAGAACCCTAAAGGCACCACCAGCAAGATCATGGTGTCCGTGTGGGCCTTCTTTGCCGTCATCTTCCTGGCCAGTTACACAGCCAATCTGGCTGCTTTCATGATCCAGGAGGAGTTTGTGGACCAAGTAACAGGACTCAGTGACAAGAAGGTAAGGTGGCCTTGCTTCCTTCCGTCTCTGCGTCAGGGTGGGTCTCTGCTGTCCTCAGAAGGAGTGATCTGAGCTCCCTCAGGTCAGCTCACYGGCTCCGAAGGGTTCTGGATCTGATCTAGCAGCACAGTTCCCCACTTCCTGATTCTGCATCTTCCTGACGATGCCTCRGTGGGTGGGCACTCTCTGACTCAGGAGCACAGAGCAGCTCACACCTCCCAGGGGAGCATGATGTGGGGACTGTCCACTGGCCTGGGCCGGGAGAAACTTAGCGTGGAGGGGCTGCTCAGCTGCAGGTACCTCCTAGCTCTGTGACCTTGGAGAGCCTCTTATGTACTCCAAGCCTTGGGTTCCCCATCTGTGATGCCAAACATTTCATATCTAAACTCCTGTCGAGGGACAAAACCAGCCTGTAGCTCCTCCCCACCATGCAACCGGCCGCCTTCCGACTGACTTTCAGTCAGCTCTTGAGCTGTCTTGAGATCTCTTCAAGGAACACAAAAGGAGCAGCGAGGACCCATGTCCTGTGGCTTCCTCCTTCTCAGACACTCCTCAGAGCTCCCCCGTCTGTGGCCTGCTCCCCCAAGTCCTCATTGCAATGCAGAGTGTAGCAGGGCTTGAGAGGCCATTCAGAAACTCCTGGAGGAGGAAAAGAGGGCGCCCGGGTGGCTCTCCTTTGGAAATTTGCCTTCGGGAAGCCCATCTCCACTGGCTGAGCTCAGCATGGCAGGCTGCAGCCCTGCGGAGGTTTTCTGTTTCCTGCGTGTGAGGATGATTTGTCTCTCTCTGAAATCTCCCTGTCGTACCTTGTTGACAGAAGTCTACCTACATCCTTTCGCCTTCATCAACAAACTGCTGCATAAAAAATCAGCCCGTGGAAAGCCTTTTRCCGCTTACCCAGGGCGTGCAGGGCTGCTGAAGGCGGACGAGGAGAGGCCGGGGTCAGAGGTGGCGTCCCCTGCACCCAGGTGCCCTGTGCCTGGCTGGCCTCCCTCGGAGGGCTGCCCTGGGAGCCTGAGTAGGGGCCCCTCCACTGACYGGGCACTCAGAGCCCTTTGCCTCCTGCACCGTCCCCTCCCTGCTGCTCAGCAGAGCCCCCTGCCCGTTCCCTGTCCCCCTTCCTGCCTGGCTCCCGCTGGGCTCCCTGCCTAGAGGGTGCTGCCCCCATCTTCTCCTGGCGGCCTCCTCCTGAATCTCAGGTCTTAGGGCAAATACCAGAGGGGACGTCCCTGACTCTGGGGTGAGCTTGGCAGGGTGAGCTCAGGCACCCCAGAAAGTTAGATTTGGGTAGGAAGAAAAACCAATACACAGATAGATGTCAGGAAAGAAGAAAATGTCAGACGGGAATAAAGGTGATACAAAGAGAGAAAGCGGAGGGGAGTAAACTGGCTGGGGAAGAGACCACTTTTCATGAGTTCTCTGGCACCCGGGGGCGCCCGGTACCTCCTGTGGGTAGAGCAAATGAATGGACGGTGTTAGACCCCGGTGCCCCGGGCCTCCTGGGCTCCGTGCCCAGCCTGCGTGCCCAGCCTGCGTGCCCAGCCTGCTCTGACACGCTTTGCTGGTGAAGAGCCACGCCAGGGTTCTTCAGAGGACGTGCCTCTGGCCCTTGTCATGGGAAATGCCTCTGAAGTAAAGCCATGTCCTGTGGCTTCCTCCTTCTCAGACACTCCTCAGAGCTCCCCCCAAGTCCTCATTGCAATGCAGAGTGTGGCAGGGCTTGAGTGGCCATTCAGAAACTCCTGGAGGAGGAAAGGAGGGCGCCCTTCCTGTGGAGTTTGCCTTCGGGAAGCCCGTCTCCACCGGCTGAGCTCCGCAGCGTCAGGGCTGCCACACGGCGGAGGTGTCCGTTTCCCTGTCTGAGGATGATTTCTAATCCTCCCTTGTACCCCACACCCGACCCTTATGGGTTCCTCCTGGGCACTTATTAATAAAGCAGGTTCAACCCAGTTCTTGGCACGTGGGGCGGGGGCTGCTGCCGGAAGACCCCCAGCTGAGGCTCCAGGTGAAGCTTGGCATGGGGTCAGGGTGGCTTCCGCTCGCCCCTGCCAGGACAGCAGAGTCAGGCAAGCTCCGGGGCCTGCCCGTTCTCTGTGAATTGTGCAGAGGATCAGAGGGAACYCGTGTGTGAATGCGCCCATCACAGCCTGCAGACCCTCGGCACCGCTGAGGACTCCATTGTTACGGGATCCAAACTGCAGTTCCTAGGAGAAGGGTCCAGAAGCCCAAAGGAAGCAGGGAGAGCACTGTCCTGAGTGAGAGGAGTTTCGARAAGGTAGTTGGCAGCGAATTTTGCTTTCTGTCGCTCAAGGGGAAAAGTCCCTCGCTTTGTAGTTTTGGATCTAATACGACCACTTGTGGGAAAACTCATTAAGGGCACTAACAATTTTACTGACCTTTGATTTGGAAACACCTAGAGGCCGACAATAGATCCTCATGGGACACAGCTCCGTTTCCCTGCTAGGAGCATTAGAGACAAACCGATAGCCCTTCTAATTAAATGTTTGCTACAATTAGACGAACAGCAGAATTATTAGAGTAAATAGGCTAACTGTTCCTGGAWTATTAATAGCAGATAAACCAAGCAAGTTTGCAGAATGAAAATCTATATAAATGAAATCGTTGTAATACTGCACACAGTGTTTGTTTTGGTTTTTAATCATGAGTACCTGCGTAAGCACTCAGGTTGCTGACACGTTTAAACCATTAGCGCCTGCAGTGAATGCAGCAGATCTGAGCCCATTGTGTGTTCCCATGAGCTTGGGTTGGCCTTACAAATAGGAGAATTCGTGGAATGACTAAAGGAAAGTTGGCACATGGGTGGGGACCCTTTCCAGAGCGCTGGGCACCGCCATGATGAGGAAAGCCATCTCCGAGAGGTGGATCCATGTAGTGGAAGAGCCACGTCGAGTCTGGGGTCAATGCAGCCGGATTCAGACCCCAACCTCGCCATATTGTGGTCCCACATCTTCCATATGCCCACGGCCCTGAGGTTTCATTTCCTAACAAAGGCAAGATGTGAATACCTTTCTGGCAAGGTCCATGTGAGGATTGAAGGAACCCTCGCGGTACAGCTGGCCCACGGGAGATGACCCTGTTTCAGGGCCACCTCC